TAAATTTTGAAAAGGTAAAAAAAACAAACTAAACCAAACAAAAATTGTATTAGACTTTTCTGAAGAGGCATTAAAGTTGTACTTTCGTCTAGAATTTTGTTTTATTTGGAATAGGCATCTAAAAGTTATTTGCAAAAATCAACCTTCAAATTATTAAAAATTTCCAGAGAAAGCTACAAATAAAATGTGGTTTGGAAAGGATGATCATTTTTTCTGAATTGGCATGATCATTTACAAAAGAATTAGTTGAACTGTTTGTTGAGAATAGTATTCGCGGAGTATGACTTGATTGCTGTCCATTAGTCGATCACTCGCAGGCCTCGCTCATACCACATACATCCATAATAATTTAACAAATAAAAAGAGAAATATTTGTAACTAAAGGAACTTTATTAAACTATATCTAATAATTAATAAATTTTTTACCTAATCCCCCGTTCACATCCAAACAATACCCCAAATGATTGTAAAATTTACGCCCCAATCTCAATACAAAGCTATTAGGGGAGAATTAATAGCGTTCCGCAGAGATGTCGTTTTCAGTTCATCTAAATGTCTGTATTTAATATGCCCATAAAGACGGTTTTTGTATGAGGGACTTCCTCATTCAGTCATGGAGTTCGGCGAAAGATCCTGTGTTTTTTTTTTCTACTGTAACCTCAGTAGACGGGAATCAATGTTTTTCTTTTCTTCAACATGAAGAATATTCAAGTTATTGTTGTTTTCTTTCTGTTCAATTATTTTTGTCTTCACACTTCGTACTTAATACCTTAGTGCCTTTAGTTTCAAACCTTTGGTTCATTCTTTAAACTGTTGACTTATTCGGTATAGGCTTTCCGGACACTGGGCTACGAACATTTATCTAACACAGCGAGAATATTATTTCCAGCAAAATGCCGTTTAACCATTGTAACTTGTACGAAAGTTGCGAAATCCATAATAATTTTATAAAATTACTCTGTTTAGTACCTTCAAATTTTTCTAAACAAAATGTGACATCGAATTTGACAATGATACACACATCACATTTTTCCTGATATTGTAGCTTTCTCTGGGCCGTATTGTGAATTTTACTAATTTGAAGGTAGATTTTTGCAAAATATTTTTAAATGACTATTCCAAATGAAACGAAATTCTACACAAAAATACAACTTTAACGCATGTTCAAAAAAGTTTAATACAACTTTTGCATAAAATCATCTGGGGTAATAATTAATAATATTGGACCTTTTCAAAATTAACATGAGATTTTCTATGTCCCATGTTCCGATGCACCACACAGTATATGGTTTTCAAATATTTTAACGAAACAATCCTAAAAAATCAGCTAAATGTCAATAAACCTTAAAAAGATACTAAATAAAAATGCTTATTATAAACGACAAGAATGTTGATTTTGAAGCTTTTTAAGTTTTATTGACTTTATTTATCGAAATAAAATACAAGAAGTTTTTGCATTCAATATTTTTTTTAAAAGAATCGCGGTTCAAACAAAATATTTGTTTGTCGCAAACATTCACAATAAACTATTTGTATTATTTCACCTGACCAAATATAAATAAATACCAGAAAAGTTGCTTAGCGCTTATTGGACTTACTGCTTTTTGCGAAACCACGCTAGTTTTACAGTATTTGTGTGAAGGCCAGAAGATATAATATGTTTTTACCAAGATGGTGATTCTCGATCGTTACCTACAAGATATGTATACATATATCAGGTTGTGTAGTATTGCAAAAATATAGTATATTTCAAACTAAATGAATAAATCTGTTTTCTAAAGAGTTACAATTATTGCACGTTAAGCTTCATGTTGTAGATGTAAATTTATAAATAGAACAGGTTAGCTTTTGCTTAATATAACCTAGAAATCACTAAAAATGGTGTAATAATTAATATCCATTAATAATGCTGATTAAATGGATGAATATATTTTTTATTTACTAAAATTATCGGTATTTGGACATTTTTTTTAAAACTTAGTTAAGGTACGCGCACATTGACTAGAGCAGCACGCGCCGCATCGGCCGAAGAAAAATATTGTTTGTGTTACTTTCAATGAAGGTGCGCACACTAGCCAGAGCCGCACGAATCGCATCGACGAAAATGCGGCCAGCATTGTTGGGCCAGAATGATTTTCGGTAAATGCGGCTAGTGCTGCTGACGTCACACGCAATTCCTTCCACTCTACGTAGCGTAAGTAGCCGAAGAGGAGATTAGAAATTCAATATGCTAAGAAAGTTCGCAAATTTTTCATGGCTCATATTGAAATATTGAAAAAAAAATTAGTTCATCCTCAATTAAATATAGAAATAATGTGGATTTTTGCAAATATTGTGAACCTATAACTTTCGATTCTTTCTCGTGATTTCTTCTTCTTCTATTAGCAAGGAGCTCATAATTATTTCTTGTTCGTTGTCATTCATTGTCGAGAAATTTAAAGAAGGCGTCCATTCTTCTCAAAGGGACCTGGTTTAAATTAAAAAGAAGTATAAAAAGACTCAAAGTTTTTTTATACACTTTTTAATTGTCGCGAATTACCGCAGACAGGACTCCGGAAGCGACTGATGATAAATTCGATTGACAAATACGGGTGTAGTAGGGGCAAAAAGAAACAAAATAGCGAATAATGCGGCGCGTTCGGTACGTACGGAAGGGTACGGGTCAGTGTGCGCGACAAGAAAAAAAAGTTCTATTCGTGCGGAGAGTACGGCGCTGGTCAGTGTGCGCGTAGCTTTATACTATCCTACTTTTATACTATACTAATTTAACTTAGTTATACCGATAAAACTTAAAAGCGAAACACGTCTCTAATATTAAAAGAAAAGTGTTTTGATGTATTGTTGTAAAATAGTGTTTTATTTTTGCTGTTGTACCAAAAGATCCCAGCCCTAACTGTAATATTTTTATTTTCCATTTAAATATCTAAATCAAACTTTATTTACACGTATATTTTATACTAAGTCTCATTAATACCTAAATCCGTCGTTGACCTCTGGTAATTTATAAAATTATACCTTCTAATGGACCAATTAATTTAATTAGACAAATAATTACTTAATTAGAAAACGTATTACTCTACATTAATTAACTGTAAAAATCAATTGTGATCTGCTTTCTTTCTATAATATTTGAAAGTTTCTACACCATTGATGACATTTTTTAAAGTAAAATTGAATGAGGCGTGGCAAGATATTAAAAAGAATTAAAAAAAGCAAAATGTGTGGTTTTGGCTACGTTTACTAGAAATAAATACCCTCTACTCTCTCTAAAATCAATTTAGTTGTTTTCCGATAAAATTATTAACACAAATTATTAGTTTTATTAAAAAAAAAGTTAAATTTTGTTTGTTAATTAAAATTTGTCCATTAAATTTAATAGTGCTTCTGAGAAATAAATAGTTTATGATGAATTTAAATACTTAGTTCCAATTTTCAACATTTTAATTTTAGCAATTTAAATTCGACATCAATTTTAAATTGCATAACATCTATATTAACGTATCATGTATCTGACAGGGTTTTCTACCAACTAGGTACTTTAATCTTGTATTTATATAGCATTTAGAAAGGAATTTGATCAATAAATTTAGAATGTTTTTAAACAAAATGTATATTTAAATATTATACCGATGCATCCCGAAAGTAGCTCACCCCTAAAATATTTTTATTTTTATAGTTCTCTTACTAAAAAACGAGATTTGCTATATTAGGATATGACATAAATTGGGATTGATTGACGTATTCAATTGTTTTTGGTCACTTCCTATTTCACCGGAAATTTTTGTTGTTTAAATCGCACTCTTGGTATATTTCTACTTTATGCGATAGAAAAGACACTCTGAATATAATGACATATAATATGTCAACTTTTCATATTTTCATTCAGAGTGTGTATTTAGTTCTGTGTAATTGACATGTCATTGTATTGAGATAAAAAAAATAGATAATAAATAAAATAAATAGAAAATGACAGAGTGTCATTTTCTATGGAATAAAGTAGAAATATACCCAGGGTGCCATTTAAAAATCAAAAGTAGTAGTCATTTCCGGTGAAACAGGAAGTGACCAAAAACAATTGAATACGCCCAATCAATCCTTATTTATATCATATACTAACACACCAAATTTCGTTTTTTTTATATCTGAAAAAATAAAAAAGTTATAATGAGCCACTTATAAGATGCATCCGCTCGCGCACCCTGTATACATTATATTTTTTTAATTTCAAACACGCATAGTTTACGAAAAAGTACAATACGTGAAAAAATCTAATTATGCCATGCTATACAAATTTATTTTTTATGTTGCTATCCATTTTTGAATTCAATTCGGAAAAATAATAGTGATAGTCAACCTCTATGTCTATGCCTCTACCTCTTCCGGTATAATATTTAACCGTACCGGTATAATATTTAAATAAAAATGTGAAAAAATATGCTAATATTTAAAACAAAATCAGGTTAGTTATACCAGTTCTAACTCAAGAACGGCTGGAACATTTTAATGATCTCCCCATAGGATAGTATAGTAACAATTAAAATATCGGGAAAATTAACAGAAAAAAAATTGTACAAAAAAATAATTTTTAAATAATTTTGGTTTGGACCTCCGTGATTGACAGCTCACGTCACGCATGGTTTAGCTTATTTGTAATAATATTGTTGCCCACAGCAAATCAGTGACATACTAATGGTTATAGAATAGAAACTAAAACTAAAAATAGTCAGATAATGTATTTAAACCAAGAAAGGTATTGATATAAGTACATAAAAAATACTTCAATCGAAGGTAAACAAAAATATATCAAATCGACTGCTCTCAATCATTCCGGATCGTTCGGTCATCCGTACCACAAGATTGACAAAATCATTTCACTGTTAGGCCGTTCGAAATTAACTGTCTCAGCTAGTACTCCCATAAAGCGGATTGACTGATTGATTGGTTGATTAATTCAGGTTTATTGAATTAAATTAGTAGTAACATGTTGTATTTTTTTTCAGGCTTACCATAAACCACAGAGTTCTGCAGTACAAGTGGCCAAAATCGTAGCCGTAACTATTGTCCTGGTGTCTTTCGTGCTCGGTAGTTTCCTGCTAGCTTCTGCCTACGTCACAGCTAACGCTTCCTGTAGGCAGCTGGAGCAAGACCTCGAGCTGCTGAGCGAGGTAGCTGACAAATTCGACGGACAGAATCAGGGACCACTTCAACCAGAAGCTTTAATCCAGGTATTTATTTTAGTAATTAAGTAAACGGTTTACACAGGCTGGTTTAGTTATTTGTAACAGAAAGGAGAAGTGTGCAGAATCTTTTGAGATACAAATTTTATATTAAAATAGTGTTATAAATAAGGGCAGAACTTTGACATATTTAAGGTGGTCAGTGTTTCATTTAACTTCAAGAAACAGCTATTCTCAGAAGCTGGACTCATATTTTTATCTGGAGTGAAATTGACGGAAAAACTATATACAGCTATCGATAACCCCATAACCACATATGCTTCTGAATCATGGGCCATTAGAAAATCAAATAAAAAGAAACTCGAAGCTGTAGAAATGGATTTGTTGAGAAGGTAATGTGGAGTGTGAAGACTAGACCTCATCTTAAATGATAACATTCGGCAAACAGAGCGATCATAACCACACCTATAACAGAAAGAATTACACAGTGATAATAACAATTAAGGAGCAGACTTTCCGGATGTATTTTGTCCATTCGAATTTTGGCAAACAAAGAAAATCTCCCTTGCTTTTTGCAAGAAACTTACCGAAAAACTGAAAACTGCATTGAAAAAATCATAAAAATAGTACACCTACATATGTAAAAATATAGTTTTGGAATACTATAATCATTATGTAATAATCATATGAAATATCCGTTATTTTTTAGGGTTCCGTACCCAAAGGGTAAAAACGGGAACCCTATTGCTAAGACTTCGCTGTCGTCCGTCCGTCTGTCACAAAGGTCTATCTTATGAACCGTTATAGCTAGACAGTTGAAATTTTTACAGATTATGTATCTATGTTGCCGCTATAAGAACAAATACTAAAAACAGAATTAAATAAATGTTTATGAATAAAAAAGTACTTTCACTAAACATTTTTAAACATCTTTTAAATAAGAATTTTACATAGAATCTTTCAGGTCTTCGGTGGCCGCGCGGTTAAAGCGTTAAGACTTTACGCTGCTATGACGTTGGAGCCGTAGTAAGGCAGGTTCGAATCCTAGTCAAGGCGACTTTTTTTTAATCGTTTTTTTTTAATTTTTACATATTTATTTTTACTTTTTACATATTTATTATTGATTAATACAATTTTTAGTAATGTGTTTCTTCATTTTTTTAATTACTTATACGCGCATTCAAAATTTCAGCTAAATCCGAAAAAAAGTTTATAATAATGTAGTGTCTAATATTGTATAGATAATGAATGGTACGGAACCCTTCGTGCGCGAGTTCGACTCGCACTTGACCAATTTTTTTTAATATACCGGGTGCGTCTCAAAAGTGGCTCACCCCTGTAAATTTTTTATTTTTTCAGATAAAACAACGAGATTTGGTATGCTAGTATATAACATAAATTAGGATCGATTGACATATCCAGTTCTTTTCGGTCACTTCCGGTTTCACCGGAAATGACTACAATTTTTGGTTATTAAATGGCACCCTCGGTATTTTTTTACTTTATTCGATAGAAAATTAAACTCTGAATAGAATGACATATAATATGTCAACTTTTGACATTTTCGCATATGGTTTAGTTGAAATTGTTACATGCGGTTCATAACAACAATTTGACTCGAAATACCAAGTGTGTGGTATGAAATTATTCGTAAAAAATGCTTTTTCCAAATATGCTAATGAGCCATCCTCGTTCCATTTGAAAAAATTGAGATATTATTAAAAATAGGATTTGGGCATCTTTTAACCGGCCAGGACAAGACATTAAAAACATTAGATGATCAAATCTATTTTTCCAAGGCTCCTTGATTAAAAATTAGTGTTTGTAACACAGCCATGGCACTCTATATTGGCATTTAAAATACAATTTGTTTTTGAGCGAATATGTCAAAAGTTGACATATTATTTGTCATTCGATTCAGAGTGTCATTTTCTATCGTATGAATTAAAAAAATACCGAGGGTGCCATTTAAAAATCAAAAGTTGTAGTCATTTCCGGTGAAACAGGAAGTGACCAAAAACAGAATATGTCAATCAATCCTAATTTATGTCATATTCTAACATACCAAACCTCGTTTTTTTCTGAAAAAATAAAAAAGTTATAGGCTTAAGCCACTTTTGAAACGCACCCGGTATAAGTAGCAACCTAGTATTTTTCTGTTTGCATCTGGTTTGCATATGTTACGGTTAAGGTCCGATGTCCGGTTAATGTCGACATTACCCGGTTAATCTCGAGAATAACACACAACAAAACAACCAAAAACATAACCTAACCCGAACATTAACATGTTAATGTCGACATTAACCGGACATCGGACTTTAACCGTAACATATACAAACCAGATGTATATTGGGTACCGGCGCGGCGCACAGTGTGGCGCTCTATGGACAAAAACCAGATAAAACCTGTTTCGCATTTATACAAATATTATTATTTATCCCCTTAGGAAGGCCTATAATCACCAAAAAATATATGAAAAAAATTGATACATGAGCAGCAATGCAAATACCAAAAATTGAATATCAGTATTTTTATTATAGTGGAAGTGTGTTTAAGTGACCGCATTTTTCAATTAAATTGGGGTGAATATTGTGTAGACGAAAAGAATATTTCCTAGCTGCACAAAATGGAGAAAAACACCTATAATAAGTACATTCTTTTTCCATATTAGTTGTTGTTAAATTCAATCATTGCTTTTATATACATGGCCATTATAAAAAGTCAAATTGAGTCTGAACGAAAATTGGTAGTGTAATTTTATTTAAGGTTTTAAAAAAATGGTATAAAATGGTAGACGAGATTTTTTGTGAAATGTTGTCCCAAGTATTGTACTTTAAAACCATTAGTTTCTGCGGAAAACTGCGATATTTTAAGTTTTCGATTTTTTTTAGTAGAATGTCCAGTACTTAAAATAAAAGATACTTTTGAACAATGTTAAAAATAATGCCAAAAGTGAAAGAGTGTGTGCAAAAATTTGTGAAAAAATTAAGTTATGTTTACATTTAGAAGATTGTTCTGAAGAAGTTGATTCGTTTCTACAAGAAGAAAGTCGTTTCCAGGTAGTTCTTGAAGTTTTTTCGTTTTTTGTTGAACTTAAATTATTGCCCTTTATGATTTTAATTTAATTGTCTTAATTTTCAAACTGAGCTTGCCATAATGTATCTGTGATTGGATAATTGTAATAGAAAAAACTTTTTAACCTTTTTTGAATGTTTTTTAACCTTTTAATTTGTTTTGTGATTGTATTTTATATTTTTCGACCTCTGTATGACTATTGGAATTTGTTTATTATTTTGATTGTAATTATTTTAGCTTTCTTGGGTTTGAAGTCCCGAAACATGTCGCCCCCTTTCTTTTTTTGAAGCAAATTAAATTTAAAAAAATTAGGGTTTTTTGTCCCCTACCCCTCGTCAGATGTTTTATTTTGATATGTACTCACACTGGGTTGGAGAACGTTTTGTTTTTAATTTGTTATTTACTAATAATGAGAAATAATTACCCTTTGGGCTGCAGGAGATTTTTTCCATATTTATAAAAAATATAAGTTAATTTTTTTTTGCCAAAAATATTTTTAGTTTATTTTTATATCATAAAAATTAGTTTAAAATATAAAATATTATGTTATCTTTTATTAGTAATGTAAGTAAATACATTTTCTGGCGGTGAAAATAGAGTTTTCCATTTTTGTCTACTTTCCCCTATACTTCAAAACACTGTGCGGCGTTATGTATAGTCAGGTTTGTCTTATTATTTTTCTGAAGCTTTAAGCATGTTTTTTTTCAATAGTAATAAAATTAATTAATGATGTACGTCTCTTTAAATAATGTCTCTATGACATGTTAGCAAAAATTTTTGATCGGCATTTTCGCGTCAAACCGATTTAGGCCTATATACTTAAATATCTGCTCCATTTCAACGTATCTCACTCAGTATACGATTGTTTTGAACCAGGAAGTCAGGACCTTGTCCTTTTGACTTTGCCGAATTAAAAACCGGATCGCGATGCCGGCTATAGAAAAGTCTATAATTAAAAGAACATTCTAGAGATTCAGAAACGAACTGGTTTTGTGCCCGACTGTTGCGATACGTAACTTATTATTGTCGGCTATTTACGATTACGTAACGATATTTCTTGCAAGAAAACCTGATATTTAAGGACTGAGAACCTCTAGATTGCGTTTCTATTTTTTGTTGGTCGCTAGTTTCTTTTGACGTTTAATATTACAAGATATCTGGTTTGAACTTTTTGGAAAAAAAACTTCTTCAATAGAGCTATTTGAAAACTACACAGAAAAATAAATGAACCTACAGGGACTCTGAGATTAGTTGTAATGCAAAAAACAATCTGATTTCTGTATTATTTCAGTTATTAATGAAACTGTTATTACGAGTACTTTAGCAATCAACCTTTCAGTGGCATTGCAGGAGCAATTGAAGGGGTGGCTGCAATAACCAGGCAGGTCCATTTTAGTAAATTTGTGAGAAATCGAAAAAGAGCTGCTCGGTTCTTGCTGCAACCCCGAGCAAGGCAGCTCTTACTAACGTCGCCATATTGTCGTGTTATATTGAAAGAACTGATTGTTGGAGAAAAAATTCAACAATATTTTCATGTTTTCTTTAGTTTTCTCTAAAACGATATGGAAATTTTGAATAGTATAAACGGGATTTTAGAACAAGCAAATTTTTTTATGAAGAATGCATTTTTCTAAAAATGTTAATAACAAAAAAATCCTCTTCCGTAAAGACAATCCGGCGACATACTGTATACTACCAGTTAAAATACTTGCACTTATTTCTGGGACACCCTGTATAGAGGGTTTAGTCTTCAAGTTATTGGACTTTTTAAAAAGAAATGGAACTTGTGAATGTTAACTAGAGACTAGAGATCAGGAATAGACTATAATAACTATATAAAGGGCGCAATGGAACAGACCAATAAACGAACTTATATTAAATTATTAACTGATTGATTACTTTCCATATCAACAATATATTTCTTATGGTAAGAAGAACATTATAAAATATTAATTTCTAAAGACAACTTCATT